TGTGGGACTAGAACTCCCAGGCTCCGGGTTTCTAGGCCAGCACCTTAACCACTACACCACACTGGCTGCAGTCCACAGTTGCCTTGGTGGGTCCTGATTCTAGAATGCCAAAACAACACAAGCCAATCCATTTTTCTTTCCAGCTCTCTAGTAGCATTCAACCAGTATCCTGCTCCCAATCCTCCGTTCGTGTTGTGTGCATTTGCACAGTGATCTCTTTTCCTTTGCCCCAGCAAAAAAAAGTGGTTTTGCTATGAAAGAGACACAACCTGGCTGCCATGCCAATGTTCCTGTGTTGCATTTGTAGAATCTTGGGATATCACAGTTAGAGCTGAGACTCTGGGGAGCAAGGGAAACTCAGATGGAACCCAGGAGTTGGGGGGTGAGGCGAGGCGGAATGAAGTCCCCCAAATGGGAAAATGGTCCACCAACAAGCTCTGCAGCACTGCAGTGTTGCAGATGAAGAGTTGACCTTTTCAGCAATTCTGTGCAGCACAACGGAGACAAATTGGCTGAATTGCAGAACACGTGGCATGAGATTACACGTGTGGAGCTATTTCCAGAACAATGCAAGATCCCATCTGAAAGTGGTCTGTGGTCGAAGGGAAAAAACAAGGCAAGGTCACCAATGTGAAACTGCATCTTTCATTGCATTTGTCATATTTACTCCCAAAAACATATTGCACTTTCTTCCTCTTAAGAGTCAGCTAAAGCAATCTAATTATTCTTATGTGTTTACTTGAATTATATGCTATAACAAGAACTTTGTGTCACCACTTACGTATTTTACAGACTGGAGCTAAAATAGCACTATAATACTGGATTTGCTGTCGAAAGATACAACTGTTTGTAGCTTTATAATTAAATTGTCCCTGTCTATTTAAAAACAATATGAAAAAGCAGGTGGAGATACCACTCAAAAATTAAGATTTGATGTAGCAAATAGCATCTTTTTGTTCCTGGAAGCTATTACATAATCCTGTGACTTTGTGCAGGCATCTCTTCCCCAAATTGCCTTCAGATCTTTCAAAATCTTTAAATCTTGATAAATTGTGGCGACGTCATTCTGAGATTATTGTGAGTTTATTATCTTGGAGGAAAACAAGTTCTGCCTGCCCCCTTTCCAAATAACATATGAATTGGGAGGAATATCTTACGCTCACTGATCAGGAAAGAAACTACTGAAGATATCGGAATTAGCATAAAGTGCATATAATTGCAGAGGTTGCTGCTGAAAAGCATGGATATCTTTGAAGATTAACTACAGTGCCTGTTTGCCTGGTGGATTTAACCCTTTTTGTAATGTTGAAATAGGGCTTCTCTCGTCTTTTCTTTCCTATTCTGTTACTTCTTCTGTTTTCCTCATCAGTATGCAGGTTTGTTTCCTCGAGTCCTAACTCTTTCCTTCCTTTACCAGCACAGTTACTCCTTCTCCTCGTGCTTTTTCTTCTCCTTCTTTGCAGTTTCTGAAGAAGGAGGGATCTGTGCACATGTACACTTGCATGTTTCTCTGAATGACAGTGGTTTGTGTACGAAAGAGAGTGGTTGATATGTGCAGATAGGGATCAATTAATTGTGTAAGTGGGATGCCTTATTTTATAAACAGTTTTAATTGGCTATAAATTCAATTAATATAGATTTATTTTATTATCCTAACCTGTCCTTTTTTTAGAACCTAGCTTCCGCAGCTTTATATACACACATATATATACAGTACATAAACACTTATTTGCCAGTGGCGGGGAGGGAATCTCTGGATTCACCTGGTTCTGACAACCCTAAGTTGGCAAGGTAGGAAAATTGGGTACAGCAAAAAATCTGTATTTTTCCCCATCTTCCCTTCTTTTATGGTGTGTCTTGAATTTAGGATAATCTTTCAGGTGAATATAATAGCAGCCCTTTCTCTATAATTATGATAATTATGGTGACGAAGCTTATACCAGGAAAACAGGATGTTCCACCTCTGATGATAATTCTTTAGGTTCTGACATATGCAATATAACACTGAACATATGTATGAGTATGGTATCATTATTAATGAATGATTAAATCATCAACCATAGAAGCCAATCTAATGCTTTAAAGTACATAGAACTCCCATGCTTGCAGGAAATTGATCACTGTTTCAACTGTGAATCAGCACATACCATTCTATGAACTTTATTTATTTATTTTATTACAGGCTCATTTAAGAGCAATGTGCCTTTGGAGTACAATATATTACTAGATGCTGGCAGTACCTCCCCATTTGTAAAACCAGTTGGGCAACCCAACTTTGTTCTTTTGGATGGACTTGATCCATGCACCCAATATGAAATAAGGATACAAGCCTGCCAGGATGGTAAGATGTTAATTCCATTTTGTGATTAGAAGACAGTGCAATTTTGCAAAATATATTCTGTTTAAATAACAGAATAACATCTTATTTCAAAATGTTTACCTAGTAAAAGCAAACCCTAGGACTGAGTCATTTATTTTACATATCTCCATATTGTATCATGAATATTTCAACGGAAAATTTAAATAGTTCGCATTTGGGAGAATGTTAGCCCTTTTTATGAAAAACATAAAACAAGGTGTTTTTAAAATTGTTCTAGAAATACACATCAGATAAAACCCACTCTCAATTAATGCTACATCAGTAATTTATATATCTTTTTTATTATTCATATGAAACAGAAGGATAACTCTCTCTTATTTAAAATTATAAGAAATGTATGAAACCTGATCTCATGGGCTTTGTTAGCATGGGTGCAGTACGATGGAATTCTTCAGGTGATTTTGAATATACTGTAAGGCTGCCTTGTTCTTTGGATTTCTGAAGAAAGTGGCATTCCTCCATTGGAAAATAAAATATCCAGTCCTAAGTGCTTTGGAAGATGATGATGATGAGGAGGAGGAGGAGGAGGAGGAGGAGGAGGTGCATCATCATCATCATCATCATCATCATCATCATCATCTTGCCCCAAACCAAATTGTTTCAAAAATATTCTTGCATTGTCTGTATTCTTAAAAAAAAAAAAAAAAAGGAATGTTATAAATCATACATTACCAAACAGACTTTAATAAATAAATAAAATGAATAAAAAAGAATAGATAAAGAACTGATAACTGAGCCAAGAGCATGAGTTTGGCATATGTTAGAAGAAGCCCAACTATTGCCGAGATTTTTCAGCTGGCTAATTTTCAGAAAGCGAACTAGGAAGCAAGCAGGAGTGAGTACTGCAACTCAGTGCTTCTTCTTACTTTTGCTTTCCCCCTGTTAAACCAAAATGGAAAACGGCAATTTAATGTCAGCTTACTATCTGTGTTTTGAACAGAGTTTGATATCAGTTTACTTAACATGTTTGAATGGCCTTGATGAGGAACCGGATCAACACACAATAATCAATGCAGAAAGTAAGAAGGCAAATGGGAACTCATGAGTTCAATATTAATTACTATCTTTCAGAATTCTGGTTTTGCATCATGGGAAACGTATGGCTTTTTGTCTGTGCTCGCAGCTGGCATCTCTAAAGAAATGTAATATTTTCAAGAAAAAATGGCACCATATAGGCAATCTCGTCTAGGCTCAGAAAGTAATCAGGATCAAGTCAAGTTAGTAGTTAGTTGGGAGACCTTCAGGGAACTCCAGAGCTGTGGACTAGACTAGGAAATGAAAAAAAAAAAAAAATCCTAGAAGGAATGGTAAAACCCCTCCATGCTATTGCCAAGAAAACTTCATGGCTATATCCAATTAAGCTCAGCTTGAAGAAGGTTTTATTTCACCTATTGTAGCGTTACAGTGTGTGTGTGTGTGTGTGTGTGTGTGTGTGAGTCT